AACGAGGGGGAGAAGACGGATAAATTTCTAAGAGTTTTCATCTTCTTCTTGATACTTCTATTTGTTGATTATGAATTATTTTAGTGATTTGTTTTTCATTAGCATGAGTAGCTAAATCTGTTATCTAGAGTTGATGGAACCAATTGTTGGATGAAGTCTTGATTCTATTTTATTATAATTGAGTCGTGTTTGTTCTATGATTGTTCAATTACGTATTGTATTGTGGTTAATTGAAAGGGCCCTCGATTAATCGTGTCTATTCACCTTGTGTTGCTTGAGAAAGAACACTTGGTTAGATTGTTGTTGAACAACACCACTTTGGGGGAAGTTAAGATATTAATTACTTGAATTTAAAAGTGGGGTTAGAAATAACGAAGCTTTGGTGGGATGATTCTGAGTTGATAAATTATTAACTAGAGTAGTTCGAGAGAATGCTTCTAGTAAATTATCGTAATTGATCGAAAGGTAATTACGGTAGCCCGGAACTCATAATCCTCATAGAGTATTACGGCGATATTATAGCTAAAGAATTGAGAATTAATCCGGCAATTGGGGAAATCAATAGCCCTAGATCATTTTACCCTTGAATTCAATTTTAGTCTTGATTATTGCTAATTTTATTGTCATTTTTTCTTGGCTAAATAAATTCCACTGATTATTCATAAAACTATTGCATCTGGAAGTTGTCTGAGCTTATGATTAGCATTATTTAAGATTGTAGTAAATAGGTTAGTTCCCTGTGAGATTCGACTCCGTACTTGAACCGGATTATATTTGCAGCGACCGCTTAGTCCTTCTTACAAGGCATAATTGGGCGTGATCAAAAATTTACTGTTTTTTAGTAGTGATTTTTCCCATGATCCTTCTTATAAATAGATCTTTACACTATTTGAAGAATCACAAATTAAGAACTAATATTTTAACTTAGCAATGGAAACCATTATACTCTCTAAGCAAAAGGTAAAGCAATTCACACCAGCATCTCCACACTTAAGAAACCACAAACTATACTTTTTGATCAACTTGCACTTAGAACATGCATTACACCTATCTTCTTCTACAAAAACAACAACTCAATTGTATAAATAAATGGGGATGATCATCTCAAGAATTCTCTCTCAGAAACCCTAACCCTATTTTATCCACTGGCTGGAGAACTCAGTAAAGAAGATTCAACTTTGTGGAATGTAATGATAATGGAGTTCTTTGCGTGGAAGCTCACTTAAAGAACATTCCTTTGGATGAGTTTCTTCGAAACCCTAATGTTTCACAACTCATTAACTTCCTTCCACAAAATGCTAGCATGAGTAGCATGATTAATTTTCTTCCAAAACCGACCGATGTTGGTCAGTAATTGGCAAAAATCGACAGAGAACCAATCGATTCGTGGCAGTCGGTAATCGTAAGGTCGGTAGAGCTAACCGATCGATTTTGGTCAGTATTTTCCGATTGATTTCGGTCGGTCAATTAAATTTTAAAAAAAACAATTGCCGAAAAAGCTGACCGAAGTCGGTCGTTATTTTAATTATGTAATTAAAAGATACATCATCTGGGAATCGAACCAAGGTCTGTACTGTGGCAGGATACTATTCTATCACTAGACCATTGGTGCATTTTATTCTAAGACTGTCTTTTATTTCATTTATACTCTTTAATTGTATTTTTGCGCGAAAATAACCCTCGATTTTATTTAAAAATAAAATTACCGACCGAATTCGGTCGGTTTTTTAAAATGACCGGCCAAATTAACTGACCGATTTCGGTCGGTTTGTTTAATATTAATTTTAATTTATTGTAAACGCAAAACCGACCAAAGTTGATCGGTTTCTTGAAGAAAATAAAATCGCGGGACTCAAAAATAATTTTCCGTATTTTTGTTTCAAAGAAAACCGACCAAAGTTGGTCGGTTTCGTAAAAAGAAATTAAAAAAAAATAGTTTGAAAAATCGGCCGACTTCGGTCGGTCTTTCGGCCTTTTTTTTTACTGACCGAATCGGTCGGTCGGTCGACCGCGGTCGGTTTTTGCCGAATTTCTAGTAGTGATTGCGGTGGGATAGCCATTGGTGGAGTCTTGCTTCATAAACTCTTAGATGAAGTTGGAATGAGTCATTTTTTCAACACTTGGGCTAAAATTGCACGAGGCAATACTAGAGTTGAAAACATATCTGTTGATTTCACATCATCATCGCTACTGTTCCCAGCTGAAAATCATTTTCCTGAAGAGGTGGTTGAAGCCAAAAAAAAACTTTATTTTTCCGGAAATTCCCTAGTTAGAAGATTCGCGTTTGATGCCAAAGCAATTGAAGCCATTAAAATGAAAGTAGTGAGTCCAAATGTTCCTAATCCAACTCGTGTCAAGGCATTAACAACTTTCATTTGGAATATAATGTCACGACCCAATTTAGGATTATAATCGACTCTTAGGAGCAAGTGCCTAAGTAAGCCTTATCAATATTTTACAGAAAATCGGACAGAGTTTGCCATGTTTTTAAGAAAATTCAAAATTTTACCTATCTCAAAATCAGCAACAGAAATAACCAATATCAACCCAACAAAACGCAACCATCCTCAATCCACCATTTTCAACATTAAAATACTAAAATCATATCCAAAGTACGGAAAGTCTTTAATAATATGAGAATACTCATGGGACTAAAAAAATGACTACCGGAGTGACTCTAAGAGTTTTCAAAAGAAAAGTACGATAGAAAGAAAATAACTTCTTGCCCACGCGAAGCAATGCGGGGCTCACCAGAATATGTCAACTCGTGTGTTATAGTTATCGAAATCTTCACCAACGTCACGTGCGGTTTCTGGAGAAAAAAGTAGCGGGGAGTGAGTCGCTAGCTCAGTGAGTAATAACACTTAATCACAACTGTGTTTAATGAGGACAATTAGAAAATATGCTTATATAATAATCATAAAATATCATGAAATAAATGCCTTTGTCGGAATTGGTAACAATCGATCTTGTCTCTTTTCATGTAAGTAGGAATCAATTAACAATTCGGTAATAAGCCCCGTAAACATTTTCATATCAAATATTGTTTTGGAGGTTTTCAAGAAAAGATCATGTAATCTGTATCACTGTGTGGCCCCCTTCGTAAAAGGAATCAAATATAATTGTAGGTCCCTACTCGAGGGAAAACTGTAACTGTATGATAGTTCTACCTTCCCACTAACGAGGGCTATAACTTTAATCGGTAATCAGTAAATACAAGGTGCATCAGGTCTAACGAACTCACCGTTAGCTACGGGATCCTTCAAGGTCTCCTCTCATTTATACTTTTCTTTGTAAACAGTAAATATTCACGTGAAAACATTTTCAAAATAATACATGACATTCCAGTTCTTATCAAATCATGTAATCCAATTTTTGTAACGGTAATCGTATCTCAAGTAACAGTAAATCATGTCTAGTAACAGTGAGAATATTTTAAATAACTGTAAACATTTCAAGTAAACTATTCAGTACCATATCAAGTAAAAGACTTGTCCCACGTGTAATTTTAAATATTATGTAACATATTTTATTTTCAAAATCATATATAAAACCATGCAGGTTATGAAAATACAAATTGCAGAAGGGTTATTACTCACTGTACTCGTGTCGAAATACCAAATGCTTTACCTCGAGCAATTCGTACAACTTCCTCCAATAAATCTATAATCACATAATATTGATCTCGTGTCAATTGCCTCATTTAGGCTAATTCATAACTAATTTAGAATACTCAATCCTCCGAGTTACATATTCTACCATCAATTTGTCGAATTAGATTTACCCATGCCATGAGTACTTCAACTAGTCTATAATCTATCAATTCCAACTTATTTGTCCAATTTATTCTTTTAATTGTTTTTCCACAGCAGATTATGCAAAAATTTTGAAAAATTCCAAAATTCAATTTCAAGTGAAATTTGAAAATTTTATGGCCAAACATTGATTTCGAAAAAAAGTTAAAATTTTTTGAAAAAAGTGAAAAAACAATTATGTCCAAACGGGCTCTTATACTCTTGGAATGTCAATAGTGAAAACTTGAAGCTCTTGGAAGGAGATGGTGCAGCACTTATATTGTTGAAATGGCATCAAATATTGGAAATTTGTTCCCAAATGTAGATACTTATAAGTTCTCAAGCTGATGTGGTTTTGGACTTAATGTTGATTTTGGATGGGAAAAGCCTATTTTGGTTGCTCCCTTTATTGACTGTGTTGCTTCACTGAATAAGCAACAAGTTGTTCTTGTGGAGAATGGATTGAGTGGTGGAATTGATGCATGAATTCTTAGAAACAAAGAAGAAATGTTTGAGTTCGATATCACTAGCACTGTCGATATGCATCTCCTAATCCTAGCATCTATGCCCCTTGATCTTTGCTCCTGTTTAAAAATTCGCACTTTCTCCTATAACCCTATGCGACGCGAATTCAAATTAATCGGTACAGTGGGTATCGGATACCGAAATATTATACAAAAATAGGATTTGTTCATGTTGGTTCATTCTGTATTTTTGATGTATTACTCAGTATATATGTACCATGTCTTTGAATCTGATTCTTGTAAACAAAGTAGTTAAGTTTCCAATAATTTGTGCCTGGTGGATCATTTTAAAGATATATTTCTATTTTTAGCCTAGTTGGTAAAGAAATGTTATATTTATTATTTTTCCACTTAATAAATGACATTAGGACAAATACTATTTGCAAATGTTATTGAAAAAAATCAAAAAAAGGGGGAAATTTTCTGAAGAACGATTATTTTAGTTAGGATAATTGTCAGTTTAAAAAGTTTTGTTCAGTTTTCAAAATTCTTTGTCAGAAAGTACCTCGAATATTATGCCCATACACCTTCAATCACAGCCAACAGTAATTTGGCTTGGACATATCTTGAGAAAGGACTAATGATGCAAAACGAACATATGAATTAACAGAGTTCCCTCCACCAGAAATGTTTTTTGCCGCGAAAAAAGAGAACCAAATTTGGATTAAATCGGAAAATGATACACAAGAAACAGGTAAATAAAATTCATCAGATATAGGAGCAACACAGCTAATGTTCTGAATCCAGAAACATTAGTATTACTCAGAGTTCAGCTATTCAGCAGAACAGCAGTTTTCACTTCTTTAAGAAAAACTTAGGGAGCATGTAATAACATGTGTTCCAATCCAGCACAAGACAAGATTCATTACATTTTACATACACTAGATGATGAACAGTTGCATCGCTTTCTTTTAGGTCAGACAGTTTTTCAAATACTTCAAGAACTAACAACACCCCCACCATAACTGAAATGTGATCTCAATCTCTCCACCTGTGGCCACAGTTTGGGTTGCAGCAAACAAAGAAGAGTGTCATACCTTCTTCTCCCCTTGCAGTTGCCTGCACATATATATCAATTGTTTCAGACGATTGTATAACAATATCCGCCAAATAGATATTGCATAACAAGCAAGCAAATACAGGTCATTGCATAAAAGATCAAAGCTACGTATCAAGATAAGTGCCTTCATCATTTGTCTTCCAAATAAATAAGTCAAACGAGAGCTCCTAACATACCACAACCCAATGAGGTAGGAGAGGAAATAACACAGTAGAAGGATCATGTTACCGAGAGAAGCTAAAAGTTTCTCAGATTGTTCCTTCTAAATCATTCAGGTAGAAGAACTGTAGATTCCAAGAAAAGGAGTACCGATATCCTAACCCAATGAGGTTACGGACTCCTACCAAAACACTTTAGAAGGAAGGATTTACTGGACTACAAAAGTTGTAGGACGGTTTTGCTAGGGAACAGAGTAAATTTCCTAGTAGACGAGGACAATGAAATTTCTTGAAGCACATATGCAGATCGACCAAGCTCCTCCAATTGCAGGTCAACTCATCTGAGGCAACAATTTGCTTTTCTACCACAATCACGTCATTTTCTTTTAAATAATATTCTAAAAGTGGACATCTCAAACAAGACACAACAGAATATAACTCATGATTTGAATTGCCGATGGCAGGTAAAAAGAATCACCATAAGATAAAAATGCAGATATGAAATTTAAATTGATTGGCCACCGGAACTGGAATTCTGGCATATTTGTAAACATGAGGGCAGTCACATGTGCAAGTATTTGTGGCTTAAATACTAAAGAAAGGCAAAGACAAATGAAAATGACCTGGAAAAAAACTGCTTCTCCATGACCACATTGAGAGCATCGAACAGATTTTGTACGAGGCAAAGTTGGATCTGCTGCTACATCCTGCAACACTTGAGTGCGCTCTGCAGCAGAATGATGTATCTCATTTCTATACACACAATTGTTTTCAGCAGGCTCCTAAAAAGGCATTAAATGAGTATTGAGATGGAATTCAAAGTTGACCTCGTATAGTGATAAAAACAGTATCCTAAGAAAGTAGTCATGAGTGCCAAAAACTAGCCTAAGTTTCTAGCTCTTAGCAATTTAACTTCACAGATAGTATAAGAGGCGGCATTAAACGTAAAGAAAAGTAAATAAGGTACGCAAAGTAAAAGGAGCATTAGACAAGTCACTTAATTTCATCTTGAACTATAAATGTATTTGTCAAAACTCAAGTGATTTAGAACTTTTAAAGTCTATAAGCCCTCATTCTTGGACAAAGGAATTCAAGTTCTTTTTTCCTTTTTTCAGAAAGGTATTCCAGCACAGTAAATAATGTGAAGGAGCAGAAGTACTATCAGATAAGTTCCAACTAAATGACTAATTATTAATATTGGATAGAGATATACTAGAACAAAAGACAGCTGGAGTGAAAGGTAATCTTTGTTTAGCTTAAAGAATGAATGGAATTCCACAGGCGAAATTAAGAGATTGAATAATCACAAAGTGTTTCCTTTATCAGTTAACACTTATTATGACTCAAAGCAGCTAAAAGGATCTCGTAAAAGATAACTAGACTGCTATATAGAGCAGCCATTATGCATCAATAGGAGAGAACAAAGAGCATCCCATCAGAAAAAACGCTTATGCTGATAAAAGCATGGTAAATTAAGAAGCACAAAAGGGGGGGAAATACATACTACATATATTGAGTATCTCCATATATATTGCCACCTTTTGAAGGAACAAGATATTCAGGCTAGTAATATTTAGATTTATAACAATAATCGTGGTAAACTCATTTTGATGGGACGCTACAAGCTATTCAAGTCCAATCTAGAGCTAAGAGTCAAGATTCCCACTTGAATCCATCCTCAGCTTTATGGGACCTGAATTATCTAATCTGCATGCCTTCTAGCCACACACTCTCTATCTCACACACACACAGAGATACCCATTTTATGTATTAAAATCTAGAGATAGATATAGGATTAAAACATGTCACATGGATCTTCATTTTCCTTTTATTATTTTTTTTTATTTTACTGATAAGGAGAAAGCTTTTCCCAACCATGGATCTTCATTTTCCTTCATGTACCCGTCTCGAACAGGTGTAACATGTCTATGGGTGCTTATGCAGGTTCTTCGAATTACACGAAAATGGTCCGTACCAGATACTCATACACACCCCTATCAAATGGATAAACTAGTCTATGTAACATAAGTATTATGTAAATTGGGTCAAAATATACAACTCAGATGATGGATAGCTTAGACGTGATAAAGAAGATATCATATTCAGCATACCCATCAAACAAGGGATCTGAGAAAAGGATATAAAAAAGAAAAAAAGAAGTTAAGAGCGCATAGAAAACTGAAGCTTGGCTTTGGAAATTAGAAGATATTTATGAGTTGATTCCTTTTTCCACTATGCTCATAATGCCAGTTGAGCACTTATTGCTGAGGATTATAGTGACATGCTAGAGCTAAGCCAATCCAGACTTGTTGAATAAGGCTCAAGGCCCCAAAAAATTGTTTACAAAGATGATACCAACAAAATGGATCAACCATAAAATCTAGGAAACCAAAGTGTGAAAATCAAGGTGTCTAGGATGTTTGGACTAATAGATGTTATCGAAGCAATGAACTTTTCACACTTTGACACCTGAGGTTCCTTAACGAGTAGATAATTCCGCAGGAGTATATTTTTTATAGTAAAATGCATACGAGATGTGAAACAATGCAACTAAAATTTTATACATCTCGGGAAGCTTTCAGGGAACATTTAAATAAAATAAACAACAAAACCCATAGCCTAATGGTTGAGGCATTGAGAGTAACAACTTGGACATCTCAGATTCAAATGCCATCCATAACACACACTTGGTGGACAAAGATTACCTTGGCAACCGTGTTCGTGTGTAGACAGGCTGCCCAGTGGAATAGAGCATGCAACTTGTCCCAGACACCACTAATATAACAATAAAAAATTTTAAAAAAAATTGACCAAAATACTCCCTCGGTTTTAGTTTATATGACCATGTTTGACGTACTCTAAATATAAGAAAGAAAGAATGACTTTGAAACTTACCCTCGTTAAACATGCAATAACATTTGTGTAACTATAACACTTTTAAAACTTGTGGTCTTAAACATAAGTATAAAAGCTTGTATTAAGAGTAAATTGGAAGTTTAAGTTAAAAAGATTCCAAATTTACAAAGGTCATTATTTTTGGAACAGATTAAATACAAAAACACATGAAGTACTTTTTTTTAATGACAGTAGTGTCTAGACCAACTTACGCGCTTCAATTAATTCCACCAGATACCTACTACCTCCCACGAGCACAGATACCGGATAACTCTACCCATCGAGGTTTAGTCGGAGAAGAAATCACATAGTGTTCTTTTTGCCTCTGCTAGAATTTGAACCTAAGACCTCATGGTCCTACCCCACTTCATTGACCACTAGACCCCATAATTTCAACTAAAATTCCACTCTTAATCCAAAAATTTACAACAAAAGGTCCAATTCTTTTAGAAAAAATTCCAGTAAGCAGCATTGCAATTTCTGCTAATAAGCCCAACTGTCAAAGGAAAACTCACCACATTTGGGTTTTCCATTCACTATACCCTAAACCTATACCTAGTACTATGCAACTATATCAAATTACAGCAGAAAAAGCAACCAAAAAAAAAAAAAGGTGAACGAAGAAAAATGGGTAGAACCTGATGGTCACAATTGCGGCAAGCATAAAGGAGGATCTTCTGCTCCTTGTCTTCTTTTGGATACAAAATATTGTTACTGCAAAGCCAATCCATAGAGCAAAAAATGGTCACTTTTTTTTGAAGTTAGTAATAATTAATGTAAGAAGAAATAAATGCAAAAATAAACAAACCATTCGCGGCAAAATTTCATAGTACTCATTTTCGCGAGTTTTTGTTTTGAATCGTTTAGCTTTTACAGAGAAAATGAGCGATTTGTTCTATACTCTTGTTCTGCCTTCTTTGGGGCTTCTGGAGTTTCTAATAGAGGTTTAAGGAATATATTGGTTTTCTTTCATTATATTATAGAAGAACCCCACGAACTATGGGAAACTATAATAAGGCCCCAAATTTGATTTCTCTATAATCTTCTACTTAATTTGATTATTTATTGCACGGGTCCTTTCTAATCTATGTGATCTTATTTGACAGGTTATAAAATTTAAAAAAAAAAATGAAATTTATAGCCATAAATATGTAATCATATTTATGTAGTTATAAAAACTTCTTGTTAAGGTAAAATAATGAATTTAAATTAAATTATATCAAATATATAAGTGTGTCATGTCTTTTTGGATGAACTAATGATAATATTACATAAATTAAAATGAGGAAATATTTGCGATTATAAAAGTTCCTCCAACTATAAAATTTCATTTGAACTTGGTGGAATATGTTAACTTTAGCTTTTTTGAACTTGGTAGATGTCCTGATAATTTAAGTTTTGACCTTTCTATTGCATAATCTTAATACTTGGTCAATTCTAAGCATGGTTTAAGCTCAAACTCACTCCTAACTTGTGAGTAAATTGTTCAACTTAACACTTTAAAATTTGATTAGAAAGGCAATATCTTGCAAAAATCTCTTGTGTTTTATTAAGGGATTTTTACCTTCATATACACTATTTGAAACTTTATTACTTTCCTTGCTCAAGTTTCAATTTAATTACATAGACATATACAATTTATCAATTATATACATTTTAGGAATTTAATGAGAATCAATTAACTCATATAATCTCTCTAACGTACATATCCCATTCCCCCCACGTTTCTCTATCCACACCCCCCACGATTTTGTACTATCTCCCCCCATTAACGTCATCTTCCATTTTTGTTCAAAAATCTTTTATAATCTCTCTCAATCTTTCTGAATTCTCGCTCTAAATCCTATGAAAATAGTAGCAGCTTAAAATTTTCCTTCCCTTATAATGAAGAAGAAAGGAGCTCCAATGAATAGCCCTAAAAAGCTAATGTTAGTGATATTCCTACTTTTGATTTGGGTGTTTTCTCACATGATTTACCCAAAAAAGTAGTAAAATCGGCACATGCAAAATCAAAGACAAAGTTCAAGCTTTTCCCTAGTGAAGCTAGAGCAGAAGCTCGAACAAAACTCAAGCATGACAGGGATGCTGGTGAAGCTTCGACATCTGCTAAATCGGTAAAGCGGAAGGGCAAAAAAATTGCTCGTGATGATTATTTCGTCGAAGAAGAAGTTATCCCGAAACCTGCAAAAAAAAAAAAAAAAATTCTCCTACTGTCAAACCTTCAAAAAAGAAGAAGGTTCAAAAATCACCTAAAACTATACCTCAACAGTCATTGGAGAAGGTAAAATTTTAGTAGTTACAATTTTTTTTTTTTTTAAGTTACAAAACATGTACTCATTCTCATGGCTATACATATTTTTTATTTTTATTTTTGTATTTGTAGAAATTTTGTCTACATTGTGTATATTTGTTGTTAGTTATCAACTTTTCTATATTTTCCTGGAAATTGTAGATTTCTTGTATATTATTCGAAATTATTTTGTTAGAGAATGTACTACATGATTTAGTTGGTTTTATTGGTTATTATTTGCTCTATTTGTAGATGTTAGTTTCATTTTCTGTAAACAAATTATATATATTATGTTTAGTTGTTACTTTCTAATTTCTTGCTCTAAACATAATTTTATCAGTGCATTTGCAGCTTCAATGTAGTCAGTTTTTATATATGTTTACTAATTTTGTAACTTACTTGTATGCAATGTACTAATGCCTTTCTGACTGTAGCTAAATTGTAGTAGAATTGTATTTATTTATTTTTTCGTCTTCAAACAAGTTTTATTAACTTACTGTTTTTTTTGGTGCAGAATCGAACATTTTTTACACCACATGATGTTGATTATGGCATCACTAGGTTCCAGACATTATCCGACCCTGTTGTTCCTGGCCAAATCAAGGTGTTATTGTCTGAAAATGGGTTAAAGTTATTTAAGAAGACGTGTTTTGGGCATTTTCTTTCCCTGCCCAAAATACGTATCCAAAATCAGGCAATTCACTTTCTCATGAAGTATGAATTGAGCGCATCCGGTTCTGATTTTTTTACAGCAGAGATAAAGGGTGAGAGGCTGAACTTTGGGTTGAGGGAGTTTGCCCTTATCACTGGCCTTATATGTTTTACAGAAGTAACGGACTTTGGTTACACAACTAAGTATGACAGTAAAATAATGAGAAGCTATTTTTCGAACAAGGAAAAAGTTGAGAAGTCATACTTGAAACAAATTATAACCAGCCGTAGTTGGGTGAATGATGAGGATGCAGTCAAGCTGTGTATTCTCTATATGATAGAATTCTTCCTCTGTCCTTCAGAGAAAGATAATGATTTGATAAACCATTTTAGGTTCTACTTGGTGGAATTGGGGCAGTATGCGAATTTCGCATGGGGTATCGAAACTTATACATAATTGCTTCAGTACGTTAGGCACAAGCTCAACCCTTCTGTGCATTTTTATCTCATTCGATATTTTCCACTCGCTATGTAAATATGGTTATATGAGTGTTGCTCTACAGTCAACACTGATATAGCTACAAAGGTTGGTAATTCGATCCCCCGCATACTTAACTGTACAGCTAATAAGGACAAGATATAGATATATGTATTGGAAGATAGAATGATCAAACCATCGTGCATCAAGGTAAATATTTTTTACTTCTGGACAGACAATTTAATACAAATTATCTACACATTTTATACATATTATGATTAGGTCCTCACATTTTATTTTCACTCAGTTCACCAATATGCTTGAAGCCCAGAAGATCTTTGAAGAATGACTTTGTCAGACAAAGTTGAATACATCTGTCACGACCCAAAATCCGAACCTGTCGTGATGGCGCCTATCTCGATACTAGGCAAGCCGATAATCTCAATAAACTAAAACTTCTCTTTAAGGTTAAAAATATAATATTTAAATACAATACAAACACTCTCTAAACCTGGTGTCACTGAGTACATGAGCGTCTAATGAATATAAGTCTGGAAAATATAGTTTATAATAGTCTGAGACCAAATACAGTAAACAAAGAGATAGAGAATGAGAGACAAGGTCTATNTATACAGACGTCTCCGTACCGATCCACAAGACTCTACTAAACCTGCTCATGACTCGTGAGACCTATGTAACCTAAGCTCTGATACCAACTTGTAACGACCCAAAATCCCAGCCTGTCGTGATGGCGCCTATCTCGATACTAGGCAAGCCGATAATCTCAATAAACCAAAACTTCTCTTTAAGGTTGAAAATATAATATTTAAATACCATACAAACACTTCCCAAAACCTGGTGTCATAGAGTACATGAGCATCTAATATGAATACAAGTCTAGAAAATATAGTCCATAATAGTCTGAGACCAAATATAGTAAACAAAGAGATAGAGAAGGAGAGACAAGGTTTGCGGAACACGATAGCTACCTCAAAATCTCCTGAAAATCAACCGCGTGAAAGGATCAACACCCGCTATGTCCGGGAACACTTAGATCTGCACACGAATGCAGGGTGTAGTATGAGTACAAACAATTTAGCAAGTAACAATAATAAATAAGGAACTGAAGATAGTAACAAGCTACACAGTTATGGTTCATTTCCAGTAATTCCAGCAAAGAATAGACATGCTATCAAATCTGGCAGTTTAATGTCAAATCAATTTTTATACAGTTCCTGTTCATGTAATCCATATATCAACAATCTTTCAGAGATTTCACAACAATGACAGATAGCAACTAAGTGCAACAAAAAATAAAAATCAAGTACAACCTCTTAGGACAACAATCACTCACTGGGCTCCCAGCCCTCATCACTCACTCTCAATGGGTACCCGTACTCACTGAGGGTGTACAGACTCCGGAGGGGCTCCTACAGTCCAATCTCTATAATCTGCACGGACAACTCACGTGCCATAATATAAATATCTGGATCCGCACGGCTAACTCATGTGCTGCACGGCCAACTCACGTGATGCTATGCCAACTCACGTGCTATAGTATAATATAAGTATCTGCACGGACAACTCACGTGTTGCACGGACAACCCACGTGCTATGATATCAATATCTCACAATCAGGCCCTCGGCCCCTCTCACTCATAAATCACTCCAGTCTCTCGGGCTCTCATTAATCATGAAATCAGCCCAAACAATAATGATATGATGTATTAATAATAATAACAGAGACTGAGATAAAATGTGCAAGTAAAAACTGAGACTGAGTACATATAGCATTTAGCAGGCAATTCAATAAGTACGCGACCTTTGTGGGTCCCAACAGTACTATCACATAGCCTAAACATAATTTCTAAACATGATTTACAATCAAATTTTATCAACACATAGAGAGCATATAGCTAACAACAAATTATTCAACTTTACAGTTTTCCGGGACGGACCAAGTCACAATCCCCTCGGTGCACACCCACATGCACATCACCTAGCATGTGCGTCACCTCCAAAATAATCACATGATACCAAAATTCGGGGTTTAATACCCTAAAGACCAGATTTAAAACTGTTACTTACCTCAAAACGTGAAACTCTTTACTCTGCTGTGCATTTGCCTCGCAAATCGACCTTCGAATGCCTCGAATCTAGTCACAAATAATTCCTTTCAGTCAATAAAATTTATTGGAATTAATTCCATAAGAAAATACTAATTTTTCATAAAAATCCGAAATTTAGCTCAAAAGTCGCATGTGGGGCCCACGTCTCGGAACCCGACAAAAGTTACAAAATTTGAAAGCCCATTCAACCACGAGTCTACCCATACCAATTTTACCAAAAATCCGACCTCAACTCGACCCTCAAATCTACAAATCTTATTTCCAAATTTCTAAGTTCCAATCTCCGATTTACACCTCAAAATCATGTAATCTAGTCGGATTATTCGATGATAATTCAATATTATGGAGTAGAAATGAACACAAGGGACTTACCTCA